TTAAATAAATGGATTTCAGAGCAGTTTGCAACTATGGGTGTGGGACATGGCAATGCATTAGGGTGCATCCACACATTGTAGAAATTATTGCAGTTCAATACCACTTTCGCTCAATGCTATGGAATCATGGGATTTGTGGTTTGGTGAGGTTCCAGCACTCTTTGGCAGAGAAGGCTGGATACTATGGAAAACTACAACTCACAGGATTCCATAGCACTGAGCCATAGCAGTTAAAGTGGTTCCAAACTTAATTAATTCTACAGTATAGATGCACCCTGAGTTAGTGAAAGCATGTTTTCCCCTCAGTCAACTTATTCATCATTTTTGCCATCTTGCTCACACTCTGGTGACATCTGGCTCCACAATCTTTCTGGTTAAGATATGGCAAATGTTGGAGGGCAGGCATGTAGCCGGGGGGGGGGGGGGGGCTTGGGGGGCTTCAGCTCCCCCCCCCAAATTCTCATGGTGGTTCGCGAAAAGGCCTTACTGGTGCATTATTTAAACTGTTATGTTTATTCATATCATGATCTGATCACCATACTCAATATATCCCATATGCATGGGGGTATTGGGGTAACGATACAAAAGGTTTGCTAGGCTAGACCCTCTTTCACTCAGACTCAGCCCCCCCCGAAACTCAGCCCCCCGAAACCCCCCCTAAAAAATTCAGCCCCCCCCCCCCCCAAAAAAACGAAATCCTGGCTACGGGCCTGTTGGAGGGTATGTGTTTATGACAACTAGTCCTTTCAAAGTTAACAATTTGATATATTTCTGCAGGTTTCTGTGCCCTAGACTTCTTGGACTACTCTTCTCTCCAGATTCAGAGAATTGGAAGAGATCCCAAGGGTCATCTAGTCCAACCTCCATCTATGCAGGAAAGCAGAATGGAAGCACTTGAAAGCGAGAGAGGTGCCCCTCCAACTTCTACAAGGTGTGTTTTAAAATGACGGACCCAGTTTCAAAACATTATATTTCACAATGGCAACATGTTGCCATCACACATAAAGTTGCAAACAGTTTATTTAATGTGCTGTCAAGTTTTACAATTTAGAGCCAGAAACAAAGCCAGACACCCCGCCCCACCTGACCTACTTTGGTTTGGTGGGCAATGACAGAGGATGATGGAAATTATAGTTCACCCACCATAAAAGAACACTGTGAACCCCACCCACCATGGATCTGGACCTAACTTGGTCCAAATATTCAAATAATCTTCACCGAATCATTCAAAACTATATGGTCCACCCTTTCATGTGGTAAGAGTTTCATTTGTGGGTGGTTAATGGTTGCATAGATACAATGACTTCAAATTATTTATTTATTTATATATATATTTACAATATTTATATGCCGCCCTTCTCACCCCAAAGGGGACTCAGAGCGGCTTACAAGATATATACAATATATTATTTAGCATAATACAATAGCAGTATTAAATATTACTATATTGTACTATACCATTATATTGTAATATTATTAGTAATATTACATGTAATATAAATATATAATTAAAATATATTATTATTATTAGTAGTAGTATTATATTGCATTACATTATAATATTATAAATATTATATGTATATACAATAAATTATATATTACATTATATTATATTATATTATATTATTAGCATAGCACAGGAGACAAGGTGGAACTGTCTTCTGCCCCCATTAGTTCCATCTTTTTGAAATACCCTTTATTTAAAATCACCACCCGCTAAAGCAGCCTGTTCTACTATCAACCAATTCTTGGGAGTGTTTTCCAGTGTACAAGTATGGCCGTATCTTTTGTAATTTTAATGCTCTGTGTTCTAGTCTCTGGAATAGAAAGTCTCTGGACATCTTCCAGCTTCTCAATATCTTCCTTAAGTTACACAATATAACATAATTTTTGTTCCAGGGTTATAAATGTCATTTCCTAATTGGTTATTTCATAAAAACATGGAAAAAATTCAATAAACTGCAAAAACTTTGTTCTTGCAGGACATCCTGCAGCACATTGCTATAGTTTTTCAATGAATATCTCATTGAGTTTCAACCAATTCAACAGGTTGTTCCAGCCACAAAAACGAAGTTTCTGGAGTAGAACAATTACTTTCACTACACAATTAAAAAGGAAATAACACTTTCAAACCAGGAACAGATTTTTTTCCCCAAATTTTGTTACATAGTGCAATGGGGCCCAGAAGTGAATCATTTTTATTTGACCAAAGCAAATCAAACAACTGACCTTGGATATGCCTAATTTTCAATAGAGAAAATTGTGGTGGCACAATGAGTTAAACCCTTGTGCCTGCAGGACTGAAGACCGACAGGTCAGAGGTTCGAATCTGGAGAGAGTGCAGATGAGCTCTCTGTCAACTCCAGCTCCCATGCGGGGACATGAGAGAAGCCTCCTATAAAGATGGTAAAACATTAAAACATCCGGGCGTCCCCTGAGCAATGTCCTTCCAGACTGCCAATTCTCTCACATTAGAAACAACTTGAAGTTTCTCAAGTCACTCCTGACACACACACACAAAAACCAGAGAAATATATTGTTGCAACACTGACCAAATTAGTTCTCTGCAGATTTGCTTTTAAAAAAATCATACCTCATGGAACTAGTTAGTGAGTAACACAGCAGAGGGCACACCATGCTAATTTTGTACATTTCAGCAGGACTTTCAGATATCAGGAATTTAATTAATGACTTAAAGGTAATTAAACTGCACTCCTGCTGTTCATGGGAATCCCAGGTTCTTTTCTTTAAAAAAAAAAACCCCTTTCCCTTGGAGGGTAGGAGGATAAGGCCACTCTGACAGAGTGAAACTCAAGTCCTTCCCAAATCCCACAGAGAAACTGATTTAGATCATTTCCCCCCTGCTGATTTCAATGGGAGGTTTGTTTGTTTGTTTTCAAAGCAGTTTGTTGGTTTTAAAGGCAGGGGAACAAAAATGTGGTTTCTCTTTAGGACTAGCAGGACAGCGGAAGCTCTGATAATGTTGTACTGAAACACAGGAAAACTTTCTGCTGAGCAATCAGATTTTATGTAACACTCCAGATTTCTCTGTATGACGGAACCATCTACCAGAACTTCCTGACAATAAGAGCTGTTCAAAGGTGGGGTTTGCTGCCTCGGAGTGTGATAGAATCTCATTCCCTGGAGGATTTTAAATAGAGGTTAGATGGCCATCTATCGGGAGTTCTTTGGTTGTGTATTTCTCCAAGGGCAAAGACAATTGGAATGGACACCCCTTGGAGTCTCTTATAACGCCGTGAGTCATGCTTTGCCATTCAACCCACAGAATTATCTTCAAACCCAATGAGATACAATCCCCACATGCAGAAAAAAGTGATTGGGTTTCATTATTGATCTCTGTTAATCATATATTCTGAATAACAGTTTAGGATTGCTCCTTATTTCACACATTTCCATTATTAAAAGATGGGGAGGTGGGAAGAAAGGAGTCTTGGTATTTATTTTTTGTGTCAGAAGCAAATTGAGAATACAGTTATAATGCATACAAAAACCCACAAGCAACGTTGAAAACTTAGCATTTTATTAAATTTCCTTTGACCAGAAGCTGGCCACTTGGAGTGCCTCTGGTGTCACTGTAAGAAGGTTCTCCATTGTGCATGTGTTAGGGCTCAGACTGCAATGTAGTAAGTGGCCTGTGGATTGCTCTTCTCCATACTTGCATGTTGTGGACTCCACTTTGTAGTCCTATTTCTTAAGACTGGTTTTGTATCTTGTGGTGCCAGTGTGCCATCTGATTAGTGCTTCCAAGTCACCTTAGTCTTCTGTGTGCCAGGGAGGGTGTTTCTCATCGGTTATCAGCCACTGATTGAGGTTACAGGTTTTTGCCTGCCACTTTTGGACTCTTGCTTGCTGAGGTGTTCCTGCGAGTATCTCTGTAGATCTTAGAAAGCTATTTCTTGATTTAAGGTGTTGGTGTGCTGGCTGGTATCCAAACAAGGGATGGACCAGAGATATTATTGCCTTGGTCTTTTTATTATTGGCCGCTACTTCACGGCAGATATCAGGGGATGCAATGCCAGCTAGACAATATCATTCCTCTAGTGATGTAGGGCATAGACGTCCTGTGTCTCATTAAGAGCCATATCCACTGTTTTAACGTAGCGGGATGTATTCCACATTGGGCATATTCAGCAGCAGAGTAGCAAAGCGCAAGGTCAGATGTCTTCACGGTGTCTGATAGTGATCCCCAGGTTGTGGCAATTGGATTTCATATATTATTTCTAGCACCCCCTTTTTGCTTGATATTCAAGCAGTGCTTCTTGTAAGTCAGAGCACGGTCGTGGTGCACCTCTAAAACGGATTTATCCCATACTTTAATCTAGTTTATCAAATTAAATCATTTATATTTTGAACTTTGTCCGGCTCTAAGAGAATTTCAATAGTATGCAAGGCAACCACAAACTTGAACATTAGTTTCACTATGGGACTATTACAGCTTTGCTATTCTTTCTGACAATTACAGCTTTACCATTACTTCTTTACTTATCAAATCACGACCAAAGGAAATGGATATATGATTACATATATGTTAACTGGGGGAAAGGGTACTTTTAGACTCCATTTTCTAAAGGCAGTTTTGAGAATGTGACTGTATTTTTCACTTTAATGTAATGTTGACAATATAAACATTTTCCTTAATCCTATGTGTAAACTCTCATATCTTATCATTTCAAGTCTTGAAAAAAAATCAGAATACCAAAATCCAAAAAGGATCTACATGAGGGTCAGTTCTGTTGTAAGCGCTAGTAAAGGTTTCACATAAATCAGGATATAAGAAGGTACAAAAAAAACCCTCGTATTTCCTTAGATGGAAGAACAACTGAATATATAATCAGTCCATCCCACCCTTCTCATGCTCATTCATCTATCCACCTCTACAACTATTTTTCTGTTTCAATGAGTTACTAGCAAAACAATATTATTAGTTTCAAAAGTATATAGATGAGATACAAGATGCATAAAGGACTCAAGGACAGGTATTATGAAAATAAAAATGATAAGAATTTTAATTGCAAATAACTTACATATAAATTAGCTTAAAATATTATTATAGAAAACTGAGCTTGATATTAAATTAATGAATATAAACAGTAACAGTAGTCCTTGTGCAATCAACAATCCACTGCTGCTTCAAAACCATGGTCCAACTCATCATTCTCTTCCTCGCTCTCTGAATCTTCATAAAAGGAAAGTGTGGCTTGGACAGGAAAGTTCCTCAGAAGTGCTTCTGCTTCATGGTACAAGTAATCAAAGCACCTTGATTTGGGCCAGAATAATCTAAGACAAACAAATGAAATGTTTGGTTCATTTAAATTACAAAAAGATTGGAAACACTCGCTCTGGTTCAAGTTATGAGTTCAAGTTAACTCATTCAATTGAAGTAGGAAGGTGTGGGACCAATTACCCTCAGATATTTTGGAAAATGCCATAATGACTTGAGAATGGACTCACTTTGATGAGGTTCAAGTACAAAACATCTGGAAGTCCAAAGCTTCCACTTCAACCTAGGGTCCATCTATACCAGTGGTTCTCAACCTCTGAGTCCCCAAATGTTTTGGCCTTCAACTCCCAGAAATCCTAACAACTGGTAAACTGGCTGAGATTTCTGGGAATTGTAGACCAAAACACCTGGAGACCCACAGGTTGAGAACCACTGATCTAAAACTGTTGAATTAATGCAGTTTGACCTCATTTTAACTGCCATGGCTCAATGCTATGGAATACTGGGAATTGTAGGTGAGGCACCAGCACTCTTGGGAGAGAATGCCAAAGACCTTATAAAACTGCAACTCACATGATTCATTAACACTGAGCCATGACAGTTAATGTAATGCCAAACTGTATTAATTCTGCAGTGTTGATGCACCACAGAGTTAAATGGAAATACAACTTCCCCTTTTTATATTTAAAAAAATGTTCAACAGAGAAGTAAAAACTGCACACATGTATGGTTATGCCTTTTTTATTACATGAGAAGCTCTGACACAAACGACAAAGAAATGCAGGTTATACTCTCTTTATTATAACAAAGTACCAGATAGTAAACCATACTTTTATCCAACTGTAATCAGAGCTGTTTGGTAACAAAGGATTCTGATGGTGAAACTGTATAGTGTGCTCTACAAATACAGAGTTACTTTATGTATCAACTAGTTTTAGTAACAGACTCAACTTTGGTAATTTAGAATTTCTGTAAGGCAAAAACATACAAGCAGACCTAGTAAAAATAGGGAAGATATTTTAATAGATACTATTTAACAAAACAACAACAACAACATAATATCTTACCTGACTGGGTGTGTATAGTGTGTGAGTTTTGCTGAGTCTTCCATAGTCTCAGAAGAACTGCCCAACTAAAGAATGTGAGGTAGAGATATGGATCAAAACCAGAATGATCAACGATATAGATTGAACAATGTTCAAATTCAATGCACATGATATCCATCACTTTGGAATTTACATATTTACAAATAACATTGAGCAAGATCTGATTTTATTTAGATCACTCCTAAATATCCTAAAGGAACCAGACCCTGTCAGATCTTGGAATCTATGCAGGGTCACACCTGGTTAGTACTTGAATGTGAGACCTCCAATGAAAGTTAGGCTATATTTTGGGAACGGACAAAACCATTCTGAGTATTCCTTGCCTAAGAAAATCCTATGACATTCACGATGTTGCCAAAGGCAGACATATGAGTGCACACAAATACAGAGAGAGCATTTTGCAGTCCGAGGCCCCTTCTGCACTGCTGTATAATACAGTTTCTAAATCTAGGTGATCTGCTTTGAACTGGATTATATAGCAGTGTAGGCTCATATAATCCAGTTCAAAAGCATATAATCTGGATTCAGAAACTGGATTATATGGTAATTTAGATCCAGCCTGAGACTCTCTGCTTGCAGCCAAGGTGCAATGTGTCTGAAGCTGGTCAAGTTATTTTGGCACACAGAGAAAAAAAATCCCACTAGGATCTCTCCTCTCGCCTAAATGTCAAAATATGATGACAACAATGACACTGGCTAGATAATGATTTACTACATTTTCATGACACCTCTCCAAAACGGGCTGCCTTCAGCTGTCATTTCACTCTACCTAAAGGAGGAATTGCCATGATGTTGACCCTAGATCTGAGGTTCAAATTTCACGACCTGCAAGAAATCCAAAGTGGTTTAGCCATCACTGACGAAGTCCATTTTGTCTTCATAAGATAATAAATATCTCAACTTTAATGAAGCTCAACCTGACTAATGTTCCTTCAAGTTATTTCTAATTTACAGTGCCACTAAAGCAACCCCTATTAAGGGCTTTTCCTGGCAAGATTTGTTCAGAGAAAGTTTCCCTTTGCCTTCCTCTGATGCTGAGAGAATGTGACTTGCCCAAGGTGACCTAGTGGATATCCTTGACTGAGAAGGGTCGAACCCTGGTCTCTAGAGTCATAGTCTAACATTTAAACCACTACACCATGCTGGCTATGATAGCGTGGACTATTACTATTGCTAGTATTTGCTTTGCTGATGATTTAGAGACATAGGAGTTGGAAGAGACCACAAGGGCCATCCAGTCCAACCCCATCCTGCCACACAGGAAGACCCAATCAAAGTTCTCCCAACAAATGGCCATTCAGGACTCTGTGATAAACATTCACAGAAGGAGACTACACCATCCTGCGTGGTGTCTCCACTGTCAAACAAAGCTCCTCTTCATATTTAGGTGGAATTCCTTTTCCTGCAATTTGAATCCATTATTATGTGTCTAAGGATGCATCTATACTGTAGAATTAATGCAGTTTGGCACCACTTTAACTCTCACATTTCAATGTTGTGGAAATCTGGGAGTTGCAGTTTGGTGTGGCACCAGCGGAAATGGGCAGAAAACACTCAAAACTTTGTAAAACTAGAATAATAGAATCATACAAGTTGAAAGAGACCCTAAAGGCTATTCAGTCCAACCTGCTACCACACAATCAAAATGCACCAGACAGATGGCCATTCAGTCTCTGCTTAAACACCTCCACAGAAAAGGAGACTCCACCACACTCTGAGAGAGCAGCATACAGGTAAAGGTAAAGGTTTTCCCCTGACTTTAAGCCTAGTCTTGTCTGTCTCTGGGTTGTGGTTCTCATCTCAATTTCTTAGCCGAAGAGCCGGCGTTGTCTGTAGAACCTCCAAGGTCATGTGGCCGGCATGATTGCATGGAGTGCCATTACCTTCCCACCAGAGCAGTACCAATTGATCTACCCACATTTGCATGTTTTCGAACTGCTAGGTTGGCAGAAGTTGGAGCTAACAGCGGGAGCTCACCCCGCTCCCCAGATTTGAACCTCGGTCAATAAGCTCAGCAGCTCAGCAGTTTAACCCACTGTGCTACACAATCAAAATGCTCCTGACAGATGGCCATTCAGTCTCTGCTTAAACACCTCCACAGAACAGGAGACTCTACCACACTCTGAAAGAGCAGCATATTCCACTGCAAAACAGTTCTTACTGTCAAAAGGTTCTTCCAAATGTTTGGGCGGAATCCCCCCCCCTCCAATTTCAATCCATTGCTGCATTGTGTCCTAGTTTCCATAGAAGCAGATAACAAGCTCCCTCCTCAATTTGACATCCTTTCACATAAACATGGCTATTAATCTCCAGTGTCAGCCTTCTCTTCTCCAAGCATGACATATCCCTAGCTCCCTAAAATACTCCTTTAATATAAAACATCTATTGCATCCATTGCATAGAAGGAATTTGCCAGGGAGGGATGAGAGCAAAACAAACCCACGTGGGATTCATTCACCCCTGAATGGTTTGCCTGGAGCTGCCTTTCTGCCTCTTTCTGGGTTGGAATCCAAGGCCTCCAGAACCTTTCGGACCTGCAGAATAAAAGATGATGATGTATTTATTTTGAGTCAAAAGCATTGCATAAATATTCAAGTATAAAACTGATAAAGTAAAGGGAACAAAAGTGGCTAAATAATTTTAGACCTAAAACAGGCAACAGTGGCCGCATTGTCTGTAGCTTTAAAACAGACATGGGCAAATTTCGGCCCTCCAGGTGTTTTGGTCTGCCACAATTCCTAACAGCCTACTGGCCCATGCCTGCTTTAAACAGTTCTTCCTCTGGGCATGAGGCAGGGCACTGTGGGCAAGCATACAGATGCGGAGTTGTCTGTTCTGCTCCACAGTCACACAAGGTGGAGGATGATGATGGTTGTGGTGGTGATGATGATAACAGCAGCAGGGGAGAGTGGTTATTGTTTTTCAACCTCATTAGTTAGTTGGGTGGATTAGGAAGGGAAGGAAACAACCCCCCAACCATCCTTAACCCTAACCCAGTGGTTCCCAACCTGTAGGTCCTCAGGTGTTTTGGCCTACAACTCCCAGAAGTCCCAACCAGTTTACAACATTCACACCTAGCTCCAGCAGGGAAGAGCTACTTGCCCCACCCCAGCCATTCCACAGATATATAAACCCATTGTCCTATTCCAACAGACCTCACTACCTCTGAGGATGCTTGCCATAGATGCAGGCGAAACGTCAGGAGAAATGCCTCTAGAACATGGCCCTATAGCCCAAAAAAACCCACAAGAACCTAGTTTACCAGCTGTTAGAATTTCTGGGAGTTGAAGGCCAAAACATCTGGGGACCCACAGGTTGGGAACCACTGCCCTAACCCAAACCCAAGCTTTCCCTATGGCAGAGAGTGCATCTTCATGGCAGAGTTAAGTCGCTTTGACCCCACTTGAACAGCTATGGCTCAGTACTATGAAATCAGGAGACCTGTACAGGGTATCCATAGGCTATTTGCCATTCAGGTACGGGGAAACTTTGGCCCTCCAGGTGAAGTTAGGAATTGTGGGAGTTGAAGTCCAAAACACCTGGAGGGCCAAAGTTTCCCTATGCCCGATTTACCATTTAAGAGACTTTTATGGGGACCCTATATTTTGACGAGGCACTCACACTCTTTGGCAGAGGAGGCTTAAGATTTCACAAACCTGCCAAGGCAGTTCAAGCGGGACCCAACTGCGTTAAATATACAATGCAGATGCACCCAGGGGCTGGGTGTTGGGGGATCAAAGCGAGAGGTTACCTGGGCGGCAGTTCTGTGTATGGGATCCGAGGCTTGCATGCTCCAAGATGGGGAGGATTGCGGGGGCAGAGCGGCGAGCTCTCCATGCTGTGCGTCAAGATCTCTCTCTCTCTCTCCCCCGTGTGTGTGTGTGTGTGTGTGTGTGTCCTGGGTTTCCTTCCCGGCTTGTGCTGCTGGGCCTCCTCCTCCTCCTCCGCGGCTGCCTCTTCTTATAAGGAGGGCTCTGCCGGCGTCCCTCCTTTGCCTGCTGGAGAGGTAAACAAAACGGTGGCGGCGCGTGAAAGGGTCAACAAGGAGCGTGGGCGCGTGGGGGGCGCGCTCCAAATGGCCCCAGGACAGGTTTGGCTCCAGGGTGCGAAGAGGAGCAAGGCCCCAGGCACAGGGCCCCCAGGCAGGAGGAGGAGAAGAAGACAAATGCTCTACACAGGCAGACCCTCAGTTACAAACACCCCTCTTACAAATGACTCAGGGCCCTTCTATCTGAGTGTGAGCCCAGATAACCCAGGTCAAAGCAGATATTGTGGGATTTTCTGCCTTGATATTCTGGGATCTAGGGCTGTGTGGAAGGGCCCTGGGTTATCTGTGGAAGGGCCCTGGGTTATCTGAGTCCACACTTCCATATATTCCAATTCAAAGCAGATAATGCGGATTTTATTAAATTGTGTGGAAGTGACCTCAGATTTAAGAAAGGGGGTGAGGAAACAAGGAAGGAGAGGAATCTATCCCTAAAAGGGAAATGCACCCTTGGAAGAGTTATTCTCTTAGGGGAAAAGGTGTCTCAATTGAAACCAAGCTTTGTTGGTACAACAAGACATTTTTTTCAAAATCCAATTGTCAAAGGGATAGAAAATGAGAAATCTTCTGAACAGGGGCACAGGCAGCAAAACAAGCTCCACAGGGGGGCATACCCTTGCCTATGCCAGTGGTTCTCAAGCTGTGGGTCCACAGGTGTTTTGGCCTACAACTCCCAGAAATCCCAGCCAGTTTACCAGCTGTGAGGACTTCTGGGAGTTGAAGGTCAAAACCTCTGGGAACCCACTGGCTGAGAACCATTGATATGCTATCCATAGCTAAAAGATACACATTTTTGGCTGGAGTTACCCTTAACTCGAGCCTCAAGTGACTGGCTTGACCTTGAAGTATCTGGGGGTGGTTACAGCCGACAGGGAGCTCTGGTGTGGGCTCATCCATGAGACTATTAGGAATTGTGGGAGCTGAAGTCCAAAACATCTGGAAGGCCGAAGTTTGCCCATGCCTGCTATAGAACCTATCTTGTTTGTGACTTGGAGATTGCCTGTATCCTTCTACACTGCCATATAATCCAGGTTATCAAAGCAGAATATTCACATCAGCTTAACCTGTATTATTTATTTACAGTATTTATATTCCCCGCAGGGAATTCAGGGGGGATTACAATGCACAAACATTCAATGCCATTAGACATATAACAAATATAGACAGACTCAGAGGCAATTTAACATTCCAGCTTTTCCGGCTTCATGAGGGTATGCTCAATTTCGGCCACAGGGGGAGCTGCCGCTTCATTGTCTATTTGTGACACGGAGTCCTTTGATGGAGTACTTCCTCATTCTTCTGCATCCTGCTGGAAGGATTTATAGCACCATAAAGTAGCCTCCTCACATAAAGCGGTACCTAAATTTCCTACTTGACAGATGCAACTGTCTTTTGGGCTGTATAGGTCGACAGCAAGCTAGCCTATTAATGGTCGGGAAGCTTACTCTGACCCCTTCCACACAGCTGAATAAAATCCCACATTATCTGCTTTGAACTGGGTTATATTGCAGTGTGGACTCAGATAACCCAGTTTGAAACAGATATTGTGGGATTTTCTGCCTTGATATGCTGGGGGCCCTTCCACACAGCCATATAGCACAGAATATCAAAACAGATGTTCCAGAAGCATTCTCTCCTGACGTTTCACCTGCATCTATGGCAGGCATCCTTGAGAACCTCAAGTCGCTCCTAACACAGTGGGGAAAAATCCACAATATCTGTTTTGAACTGTGTCGTGGACTCCACTTTGTGGCCCCATTTCTTAAGGTTGGCTCTGCATCTCGTGGTGCTCAATCGCAGTCTGCTCAGCGCCTTCCAAGTTGCCCAGTCTTTTATGTGCCCAGGAGGGAGTCATTTATTTTCAAGATGTACCTAACTGTTGGAATAAAAGATCATGTTAGTTTGCCTCTGATACTGTCGAAGGCTTGTCTTCATTTTGATCTCTTTGGGAAAACAGCAGCACAAACATTCAGAGGAAAGGTCTATCCCATCCAAAACAGGATGGATTCCCTATCCTACATCTTTTAAACTTGTGTTTGTTTTTTAAAAATACTTTTCTACTGTTTTATATGGCTATAATTCTTTTAAATTATTTATTGTGCATATTCTGTAATTGATTGTTTTTGAAAGCTGACTTAGGTCTCACTCAGGGAGAATGACAATATACAAATGCAACAAATAAATAGTATACTCTGGTACGATGAAAAACACTTCTTTTTTATTACAATTCACTTTGGTAGCCTTGATCCAACCAAAAGGTGACAGCCACTCACTTGCTTTCTCTGACTTACATAACAGGGTAAAATAGAGCTTCGTGAAATAATGCTACCAACACAGTGATATAACTTAACGCCAATTCCCCAAGCAAACTTGGCCAGTGGTTTCATTTTAAATATATATATAGGGGACAAATGTGACAAAGCTAATAATATCAAGGAGCTAAGTTAAATCATATCAGTAGTATTTATGGAAGCTCCTTGGTTGGCACTATGCTGCTTAAATCAAGAGTTGATCTCCCTACAGATATTTTTTTTCATCCTAGACTTCTTCAAATTCATCGGGCCATCCTTTTTCTGACCTACAAAAGGTAGTGTGAAAGTGTTCCAGAGCAGTAAATGCCTCTGGGTTTCCCATCAATTTCAGGCAACTCCGTGGATTTATGGGGTTTTCTACAGTCACAGTGGTGCAGTGGGTTAAACCCTTGTGCTGGCTAAACTGCTGACCTGAAGACCTGAAGGTCAAAGGTCCAAATCTGTGAGACAGGGTGAGCTCCCATATGTCAGCCCCACCCTCCCATGCGGGGACGTGAGAGAAGCCTCCCACAGGATGGTAACACACATCCGAGCATCCCCCGGGCAACATCCTTGCAGACGGCCTATTCTCTCACACCAGAAACTACTTGCAGTATATTCTCAATTCATCTCTGACATGATAAAAAGTTTTTTTTCTTAAATAAGGAATACTAAGTGATGGTTTCACCTTTAAATATAGCCTACTTCACTTTTAAAATAGGTTGCATTGTGTCACAAAAGTGTATAGGGCATATATACACTTTGTATATATGCACATTGTAATATCAAAAATGTATTTTCTTTTTCAAAATCGTAAGTGGAATGTTGGCCATTTTTAGTTTTGTTTGTGTTTTATGGCAGCCTGCATGACCACTGGAAAACTGGTCTCGCAATACAGATAATTGCCACCCTTAAGTTGGAGAAATCATTCCTCACTGGTCACTCATTCAGGGACATGAGAGAAGCCTCCCACAGGATGGCAAAACATCTGGGTGTCCCCTGGGCAATGTCCTTGCAGACAGCCAATTCTCTCACATCAGAAGTGACTCGCAGTTTCTCAAGTCTCTCCTCACACATACACACAAAAAAACCTTTTCAGTGCAGGTGGTTAATCTGAATGACCAAGGCCAAGAACAATAAAGATCATGAGTTTTCTCTACAATAGCCACTTAGAAATTGGAAGTCTTGGGAGTATTTGTGTGTTGCTATTTGTGATGTCAGATCTGCCTCCATTTGTTCTTTTCTGCAGATCAATGCTTCCTAAGCTATCTAATGTGGGAAACAGGGATTTTCTTTTACTGGGTTCAGCACCATATTTGTTCCCATTGGCTGTAATTGTATCTTAGGGTGGCAGGAATTCATCATGGAGCAACAGCTGATGGCTCATGGACTGGCCTTGATCCATGGACCACCACTTTGAATGTCATTGCTATAAACTATTCTGGATGGCACATAGCATAGAAAGGAAATACTGCTGGCAAGATATGGGAGCCACACAATTCCTGCCCCAATTCTAATGTGATATAACTGGCTCCCTAGTTGATGTTACACTGCAACTCCTAACCTCCAAACCTACATAGATGGTGGTGAGGAATTCTGGGAGTCCAGCAACATTTGTAGGTTCAAATAGCTTCTAAGCCCACATCAAAAAATGAGCAAATGAATGAGCCCCATATTCTAAGTGACATAGTTAAGTCTTATTAAGTGGGGGATGGTTAACATCTGAATTTGTAGTGGTGTCTTGCATCCATGTTGCGTGTATTCCTGTTAGTTATGAGTTGTCTGAGATTAGGAAGTGGTTTGTAAGTGAGCTGAAGTTGAATTATTGCAATTTGAATTGACAACTTTTCTGACAAGTAGAGGATTCAGGATAGCTCCCACTCTTAAAGATACTGTGACATCTTGAGTCTCACAGGTTGATGCGTCATGAATCTACCAAGAACAGCAAGAACCAATTCATGGTTTTACCTCCAACTGACTTTTGAGTACACTGTCCACATCCTCAAGTGTAGTAAACTAAAACTCATTCAGACAATAGCAGTGGTCAGAAACTTTGCTAGCATTTTGTATTTGTACTATAGCAACGTTGAAATCATGCTATGATTCTGTCTGCAAAATGCTTGAGAATAAATCACAGCAGGCTGCCCAAATAGCCAATCCATTTGTCATTAGAACTGGCACGCTGCAGGTTTTTTCAACACCTGAAACAAGTTGTGCAAACTCCATGAGGGCAAGTAATTATCTGTGAAGCACAGCCAAGAATGAGGGCTGGCTTCTTGTGTTTGACCCCCAAACATTCTCAGCTCCCAAGTCTTACTTGTGGGATTTGGATGCAACACTGCAATCAAAAGCTCACACATTTCCAACACGGATGATCCCAGAAGAATCAAGTGTTTTCTGTCTGCGTTCCAGTTATATGGATGTAACTTGTGTTCTTTATGATGCATTTGGCTCCAATTTCCCACATTTATTGGGTCACTAGGAATATTTCAGCAATTGGAGGTGGTTCTCACTACCTTTGAATTGGAGCTGTTGATTAGAGGCAG